AGGCTGCGCTTCGTGAGCTTCAGGTGTTTGTTGATCACCAGTTCAGTCTTTTTTTGGAAGCTCTGATCTTAATGACCTAACTTTTATCTGGGCTAAGCTTTTTCTGGGAAGACCACATTAAAAAGTCATGAGAAAACGCTCTGGAGCTGCATGAGGATGAATTACATTAGCCCAGTTACCGCCTCATACGGCTGACTCCCGCTCGGCGCCGCGTTCGAGGACGGATCTGACGTTCTTTCAAGCTCGCTGCTACTGCGACAGGGCCAGCGGCGACGCGAGGGGACGCCTGGCTGCACATCAGAGGTGCAGATTTCTCATTTAGTGGGTCACGAGTGAAACCAGCTGGTGGCTTTGCAGCACATTAGGATAAAAATCCTAACGAGGCATTGGAGCTGAAAGAAACTAAAGCATGAAGTTAAAGTGGAGCACGAGCTCGCTCAGGTGGCTGAAACATCACAGGTGGATGCAGCAGAGTGCGGCGAGAGGCTGCATCTCTGCAGTGCATCCAGCGTCACAAACATGTAAACAGATCAAAACAAAAGGAAACGCACACGTCTGCTGAGGTGAGCGTTAGCGCCTCATCTCACGTCATCGGCAGCTGAGCTCTGTGGAAGGAAAGCGGCCGGCGGCCTCGGCTCTGCCTGCAGCTCCATTTTTCCCTGATGCAGGAACTCTGCACTCCTACGCTCACTTCAAAGCCAGCTGGAGGGAACGCAGGAGCATTAGCATAGATTAGCATATACCTACAGACGAACCCCAGCTGTAAACTCTCCATCCTGGGATGAGAAGCTCTCAGGAAACAGATTTTCCTTCTTCCTGGAGCCAAGTGCATTTTCATTAAGCAGTTCGGTGCTGCCAGCATTTCTTTCAGGGGACAGAAATCTTTGTGTTAGCGCGTCTGACTGAGGTCGTCTGACTGAGGTCGTCTGACTGAGGTCGTCTGACTGAGGTCGTCTGACTGAGGTCGTCTGACTGAGGTCGTCCGTCTGCGCTTCCCGTTTGGGGTGAGGTTAGGAGCAGCCGGGAAAGAAGGAACAGCGCCGATGGGAAGTTTTGTGGATGAACACTGAGCATCAACAGGAGCAGCATGAAGGGAGACATAAAGCACGAAGCAGCCGTCCTCCATACGACCTCTGACCTCTCTCATGTTTTCCTTCGAACACCTGAAACCTCAAAGCTCACAGATATGAGCTGTGCCATGTGTCCATGTAGCTGTGCTCAGCATCGAGCCGCTCTGGTGACATTTCCAGTGATAACTTTCCAGAGCTGTGATGTTGTATTTGTTCAGTTTCTGCTGCCCTGATTGCAAAGCCCTAATAAAAAGACATTTTACTGTCACACTGTTTCCTGCTTAAAAGAGGGAAATATAAAATAGCAGCTTCCAACCTGTGGCAGGAGTTCAGAGTCCAACAGCTCATTCATGACAGTCAGACATGGACAAACACTGT